AATTCCAAAAAGTAATTTGGATGTAAAAAGTAACTGTAAACTAGATATATCACGGAAGAATTATGTTTATCGTACTTATTTAATTAAAAAAATGCAAATCAGAGATAATGTATTTAGATGCATGTAAATATAGGGGAAATATTCTTAATAATATTGCTTTAAACGGACTAAAAGGTCGAAAACAGACAAACTAAAAGGGAGAAATAGCCTAGTACTGAGCGTCGTATCATTGAAATAAAAACCAATGTTTATCGTCGTTATTTAATTGAAGAAATGCAAATCAGAGATAATGTATTCAGATGCATGTAAATATAGGGGAAATATTCTTAATAATATTGCTTTAAACGGACTAAAAGGTCGAAAACAGACAAACTAAAAGGGAGAAATAGCCTAGTACTGAGCGTCGTATCATTGAAATAAAAACCAATGTTTATCGTAGTTATTTAATTGAAAAAATGCAAATCAGAGAAAATGTATTTAGATGCATGTAAATATATGGAAATATTCTTAAAATTATTGCTTTAAACGGACTAAAACGACATAAAACAGACAAACTAAAAGGGAGAAATAGCCTAGCACTGAGCGTCGCATCATTAAAAAAAAAACGAGTTTCGTTCCAAGTGCATCTCAATGTTAAAAATGTTGCCCGTGAAAAAGTAATTATAAATTATTATTTCTTTAACAAATTTTTTCTAAAATTTTTTCAAATGATTTTTTTAGAATAAACTTCGTTACATCATGCATCGAGTTCTTTTCTTTTCTCACAGAAGTTTCTAAAAACGACGAATTTAATACAAACCTTAAACCACAAACAAAATATAAATATTGCCATGGTAAATAATAGCAGTTAATTTTAAAATTAATTTTTGAAAATGCATAAAAATAATTTTTTTAAATTTTTCTCCATACATCTGATAATGTTTTATGATGTTTCTATGCATTAAACAAAACTTCTTTCTGTGATAACATTTCAAGTATCCCTAATTATTTCAGAAAACAAATAGATGTGTTTATAATTTTCATTGTAAAAAGATATTTCAAAATTTTCCTTAAAAGTGTTTATTTTCTCCCTTAAAGCTGGATGTTTACTTTTTCAAAGCATAATTTCTGAAAAATCTGCAACTAGAAAATCCGTTTCAGTTTGTTTTCATAATACATTGTGAAAACCTGTCTGTCTGCCTGCCAAATTTGATTGTTTTTGTAAAAGTTTGAGAAAATCCGTCAGTCTGTGAAATTGCTTAACTTTCTTTTTTTTTTTTTTTTTNTTTTTTTTTTTTTTTTTTTTTTAAGTATTACTTTGCAAAATTTTGTTTGCCTGCCAAATTTGCTTGTTTTTACGTTAGTTTGTTAAAATTTGCTTTTCTGCCAAAATTGTTTGTTTTTAAATTAATTTGTAGTTGTGGTACTATCCTCTCATTGGACTGGAAACTTGACATCGACGCTCTACGAAAATTCATCAGTTTGGCAATTTATACTGCATGTGGTACCAAACAATTAAAATATACTTCTCGTAACTGTACCATGTTAAATTTTTAATGTATCTAAAATCATTTTCGTAAATATTCATTTTGTTTTGATTCCTCACGAACTTTTTCTTATTTTAGAGTATTCATATCAAAACTAATTGTCATTTAAGCAGATGTAGTCACAGTTGTTGGGATGATAAAATACATTATTGTTGTTCTTATTAAAAACAACAATACAATTTACATGTAAAACAGTAATGGTTAAATCTTTCAAATAAAAAAAAAACTACGGAGTTGTTTTCGTTTGAAGATAAAACTCCTTAAAATAAACTTGCATTTGTTTCCCTCGCTTCCATTTGCTTTTAAATTAAAATTCCATTTGCTTTTAGCTGAATCTATATTTTTCACTCCATCTTAAGTTACATGTTTATTAAAAAGCTTTACATCTTCATCCATCTTTCATATCTATTAAATCCATAAAACATTTAATAAAAGAAAAGAAGGAATTTTATAATTTTATCTTTTAGTCTTTGAATCTTTTAAAGAGCAGTTTTTCCTTCTGGTCAAAAATTATTAACTTAACAATCGCTTTTTCTTGATATTAATCCTTCAAATCTTATGAAATATTTAGCATATTTTGTAGCTGACAACTAGAATTTAAACGGAAAAAAATCTTATTTAAAAGTTCTTTTCTTTAAAACATACCATTAATTATGAATAATATGACCGTCAGTAGTAAAGTAAAGTCATAGATTTTTTACTCGTTGAAAATTTGCAAAATTTATCAGGAGCAATTGATTGCTAAATCAAAATGGAAACTTAAAGGAAATAATTCATTGCTTAATATATTTCAATTGATTTTATATTTATTTGTTTTGATATAAAGTCAAAACTTTTGATAAAAACTAAATGCTATTCTAAAAAAAATACAATTTAGTAATTGCATTTTAAAAAGGTAGGATTTCAAACGTTGCTTACGGGCAGCTTTTATTCATGAGTGATTTGGGACTATTATTTCATTGCATATTTCAATATATCTAAATGTTTCAAGTAAAATGGTACATTTGAGATATTTATATCTTTATTAAAATTAGCTTAATGATAGTTAAAGGTCGTACACAAAAAATTGCATAAACGTAAAAATATCATTGTGTTGCGTTATATTTTTAAGCATAGAAAAAAGCATGGAAAGAATGTTATTTAGCATTGTAGGGTCCCGAGATAGCTCAATAGTTAAAAATTGAAGGTAATGTGGACTGTATAATAATTAACAAATATTTATTTAACAAATGTAAATAATTAGTTCACGCATGAACTTGCATTAGAGAGCGACCATACGCTCTTAACAATTCAATCAACAAGAACAAGAGTGTGTAGTTCAAAGGGTTACATTATGATGAAAGATGGCTGGCACAATACAATTTCGCCAAACGGTAATTCAACACCAAACATAGCCGCCGGGGTTGAAATATTAATTTCAACAAATAATAATCAAATAGAAACAAATAAAATTATATGTAATGTTAACACAATTTAAATTAATACAATGCACAAATCGTTATAAAAATACCACAAATAAACAAAGTTTCAGTTTTCCAAATACAAATTATTAAAAATTAATTCTTAATAGGTAAGACAGCGATTTTTGAAATTGCTCTCTTATAAACATCATTTCTTGATTTTACTGAAACAACTCTTACACGGTTATCTTTTCCACAAAATAAATCAATAATTCTACCTGATAGCCATTTACATGTAGGAAGGTTTTCTTCCTTGAGTACTACCATATCTCCTATTTTAACATTTTGTTTTATAAACATCCATTTGTTTCTCTGTATCAATGTGCTGAGATAATTATTAGTCCAATTTTTCCATATATTTTGAACCATTTGAGTAGTTTTTTGCCATAAATTAAGTCTATTATTATCTATATCTAATAAGTTAGGTTCAATAATTGCATTTATTGGTCGGCCTATAAGAAAATGACCAGGAATTAACACATTTAAGTCATCAATATTAGAAGTTAATGGTGTTAGGGGGCGAGAATCTGAAATTCTCTCATCCTAGGGGGCGAGAATTTAAAATTCCCTCAAGCTGAGTAATAATGGTTAAAAATTCTTCGTAAGTTAATGTCGCATTTCCAATTGTTCGCCTTAAATGAAATTTTAAGGATTTTACTCCTGCTTCCGATAGACCATTAAAATTTTGTGCTCTAGGCGGAATAAATTTCCATTGTACATTTTCATCTGCTAGAAAATTGGCTAAAATGTTGCTATGTTTAATAAAAATATTCATTAATTGATTAATTTCAGAATTTGCACTTACGGAATTTTTAGCGTTATCACGAAATATTTTTTGTGGTTTGCCTCGTCGGGCAAAAAACCTCTTTAAGCAAGCAATACATGCTTCTGTGCTTAAATCGTTAACTATCTCCAGAAGGATTGCTTTCGTTACTGTACAAACAAAAATACAAACGTATATTTTGTGATAGTAACTTTTACGTTGGCCTTTGTATCTAATCAAAAATGGGCCGCAATAATCAATAGAACAACAATTAAATGTAAAATTAACATTTATTCTTTCACTAGGTAACTCACCCATTATTTGTTGAGAAATTAACTGATTTGCTTTAAAACAAATAATGCATTTGTGAACAATTTTTCTAGCTATATTTCTGCTATTAAGTGGCCAATAAATTTGTCTGACAGCATTTAGCAACGCTTGCGGGCTATTATGAAAGTTATTAATATGATAATAATTAAAAATAAGTTCAGTTATCTTATTCTTAGCTGGCAAAATAATGGGATGTTTTTGATTAAAACTTAAGTTTGAGTTAGTTATTTTACCGCCAACTCGAATTAAACCTTTTTCATCTAAAAATGGATCACAATATTTTAACTTACTTTTTGGAGTCAGTGGCAAATCTTTTTTCAACATACAAATTTCTTCTGAAAAATACCTACTTTGTATAAATTTAAGAAGATGATTTCTAGCGTTTTCCATTTCATCTATGGCTATAGTGCCTGTTTCCTTATTAAATGGATTACTACAATTGTAAGAGAACCTAAAAAGTAAACTAAAAATTCTTATCAATTTTAGGAAATTATTTGTAACACTTAGGCATTTATCAATAAATGAATCATTTTTTATAGTCATTAATGAAGTTGCTATTGGTTTTAGTTCGGTAGAAAAGAGTTCATCATTGAAGTGAGTTTCAACTTGAAAATTTTCCTTATTTAGGAAATTGGGACCTGTCCTCCATAATTTATTTGATCCAAGGGTTGTAGCGTCTGAGCCTCTGAATATGATATCTGCAGGTTTCATTTCTGAAGATACGTGTCCCCAATTACAATTAGACGTAAGTTGTTGAATTTGTGAGACTCTATTACCCACAAAGCTTTTTAAAAGGTAAGGCGAAGTATTAATCCACGCTAACGCAATAGTTGAATCAAAGCTAGTACACCATTTGTGTAATTTCATTCCTCCTCTTTTAAGTAGTTCTGTTAAATCTTGCTGAAGCTTAATACATTCATTTCAATTAGAAGTACCGGTAAGACAATCGTCCATATAAAATTCTTTTATAACAGCTTTCAATGCCAAAGGAAAATCCTTCTCTTCAGCTTTTGCTAATTGTTGAAGAGTCTTCTGTGCCAAGTAAGAAGCACATGCTGTGCCATATGTTACGGTTTTAAGTCTGTAGGATTCAGTAGGTTTACTTTCGTGATTTTTCCAGAGTATTTTTAGAAATTTGGTTTGTGAAGGCAGTATTTCAATTTGTCTAAAAATTTTCTCAATATCTGCGGTGAAGGCATAGATATGTTTTCTAAATCGAAGCATAATAGAGAACACTTCATCTTGTATCACTCCTCCCTTGCATAAAAAATTATTCAAGGAACAGCTATTCGTAGTTTTGGAGCTTGCATCAAGCACCACTCTAAGTTTAGTAGTTTTGTTGTCTGGTTTTAAGACACCATAATGAGGAAGGAAATATTCATAACTGTCATCAAAATCAGAATTGTCTTCTATCCTTTCCATATGGTTCAAAAGTTCATATTCCTTTAAAAGCGAAACATACAATTCTCTCATTGCAGGATTACTTGACAAACGTTTCCATAATTGATTAAGTCTTTTTTCAGCAATTTGTTTTGAATCTCCCAACGGTATGTTTTCACTAATATCCTTCTTAAATGGCATCTCAACTACATATTTCCCATTAGTTTTTCGATAAAACGAATTTTCAAACAGTTCGTTGCAATAATTTAATTCTGAACTGAAGGGAGTTTTTGTATTTCAATATTTTGTTTAACGAATTAACCTCAGTTGACAAAAAACAACGATTAAAATCTTTAGCTTCATTACTCAAAATTCTAATGCTTCCTGAAATCAAATATCCAAAACAGCTATTTTGAAGCAATAATTCGCTATCTTTTAAACGTTGAACAATATTCGATCAGAAAAACTTTTTAGCTGGTTCTTTTTCTTGTTTTTTACCACAATAAAGGACACACGACTTGCTCTTCCTCCATCTTTTTTATTTCTATTTCACTTAATACACATGACTCTTCCCAGCGCCATCTCTTGATCTTTTTTTAATTAATTTGGCTCGGGAACATACTCCCGACCTTGAAACCTTAAGGGTTTCAAACTAAATAAATGATAACATATAGATTCAAAGATATATAAAATACAAAATAAGCAATATATGGAAAACATTTAAATCCAACAATATTCACACAATCAAGTAAATTAGTAAAATATAACAAAATTTTAATTATCATTGATAGGCAATAGACAAATATCACGAACATTTCTTTTCAACAAATTGCCATTGGTCAACCTTATATTGACAACTCGTACTTTTTCATCTTTACCAAAAATAATTGCCGATATTCTTCCAGTCAACCATTTGGTACTAGGCATTAATCAAAACTAATGAACCTACTTTAACATTGTTTTTAGGAAACATCCACTTACCCCGTTGTTGCAAATGGGATAGATAATCTCGTTTCCAGAGCTTCCAAATTTGTTGACTGTATTTAGTAATTTTTTTCCATTTAGAAAGTTTATTTTCAGGAATGTCAACAATCTGAGGCTCAACAATGGAAGTTAAGGGGCGGCCTATTAAAAAATGTCCGGGGGACAAAATTTCAAAATTATCAAACTCGGAAGACAACGGAGTAAGTGGTCTTGAATTAAGAACACTTTCTATTTCCACAATTATTGTAACGAACTCTTCAAGAGTTAAATGAGAATTTCCGACTACACGTTTTAAATGATGCTTAAAGCATTTTACACCCGATTCCCAAATTCCTCCGAAATTTGGTGATTTCGGAGGTATAAATTTAAACTCAATTTCTTGACTGGAAAGAAATTTTGCTAAGATCTCATCAGGATACTTAACCATTCTATGTAGTTTTTTAAGTTCTACACTAGCACCAACGAAATTTTTTGCATTGTCACTAAACAATTTAGAGCATTTGCCACGACGACAAAAAAAAACGTTTTAAACATGCAATAAATGCTTCAGATGTAAGATCTGTTACGAATTCTAAATGAATGGCTTCAGTGCTTAGGCATATAAATATACACACGTATACTTTATTCAATTGTCCCTTACGTTGGTTTTTAAATTTTACATAGAACGGACCACAGAAATCGGTCCCCACATTCATGAAGGGAAAACTAGGGGTTACTCTTTCTTTTGGCAAATCTGCCATAATTTGATTCTCCAATACAGGTTTACTTTTATAACAAACAAGACATTCGTGTACAATTTTTCTACAAATGTTACGCCCATTCATTATCCAAAATTTTTGTCTAAAAAGATAGAACAATGTATTAGAACCTACGTGTAAATAGATTAAATGATAATATCTTACAATAATCGAAGTAAGTGGGTGTTTATCTTGCAATACTATGGGATGTTTTTTATTCATACTTAAGTTAGAATTTTTTAATCTTCCACCCACTTTTAAAATAAAGTTATTATCCAAGAAACAATTTAAGGATCTCACCTTACTATTATTTGGAACACTCTTACCTTCTTTGAGATTTTTTATTTCCTGCATAAAATGATCCTGTTGAACAACTTGAAGAACTTTTACCTCTGCTTTCTTTAGTTCTTCATGCGTAAGGTGTCCGATAATCCTATTATTACCTTTTACATTATTAATGAATCTAAGAATATAACACATAACACGAATAATAGTTATAAAATTATTACTAAGTTTGAGAATATCATCAATAATGGAATCATGATTAAGACAAGTAAAATTAAATTGAAAATCGTCAATGTCATTATTTTTCTTTAGTTCGTCTGAAATGTCATCGATTGAAACTGACATCAGATCACCATCTGTTGAAAGATCAGTTTTGTCTCTCAAAAACTGAGGGCCATTCCACCACACATCGTTGCCAAGAAGAAATTCAGCAGAAGTACCCCTAGTCACAAAGTCTGCTGGATTGTTCTTGCCAGCACAATGCGACCAAGAATTGGTGTCAGTCAGTTTTTGTATCTCCGTAACTCTATTAGCTACGAAAGATTTCCATTTTTTACAGGATCCTTTAATCCAGTATAAAGCTATTTTTGAATCGGTGTACAAAAAAACATCCGATATTCGTTTTTGATCCATTATTTGTTTTACTTTGTTAGCCAATCGGGCTAACAATAAGGCACCTAGAAGCTCCAATCTCGGTAAAGTCATTTTTCTTAAGGGCGCAACACGGCATTTAGATGTAAGCAATTTTACTTCTATGGTATTTTCTTTTAAAAATCTAATATAAATTGACGCGCCATAAGCTTTTGCACTCGCGTCGCAAAATCCATGCATCTCCAGTATTGCGTTTTCCTCATCAGAGCAAGAGTTCGGCACATATCGAGGAACCTTCGCATTTTTTAAAACAGGAATCTCAGAACACCACTGAACCCACTGCTCTTTGATGTTAAGTGGAAGTTCGTCGTCCCACGATATACCTTTTGACCACAATTCTTGCATTAAACACTTTATTCTTAACGTATATGGAACTAACAACCCTAGCGGATCGTATATTTTTCCTATCATTCTCATGAGCGATCGCTTAGTATTTTCTTGAAAGGGTATATCTGATATGTTCGGCATATCCAAAATGAAGTTATCGTCCTCTATGTTCCACGTCATCCCTAAAACTTTAGTTGGATGTGTTTCTATGTTGTTTGGATCACTTTGAAAACCTTCATTTTTCCACAGTTGCCTCAAAATGTCGCTGTTAGTCTTCCATTTTCGCAATACCATGCTAGCCTTTTCCATGATACTTAGAGATTCTTTAGAAACAGTTAGAGCTTCTTCCAAACTGTCCGCTCCCGAAATGAAATCATCTACGTAAAAGGATCGACGCAAACAGTCTGTAGTAAGGGGATACATGTCTTGAAATAACTTCAGGTGTTTCCTTATTGTCGCAGAAAGAAGAAACGGGCTGCTTGTTACACCGAAGAGCACTCGGCTGAATCTATAAGTTTGAAGAATTCCATCTTCCTTCCACAGGAATCTTACAGCGTCTCTATCTTTTTCAGAAAGTGATACCTGTAGGAAAGCTTTCTCAATATCGGCGATAAAGGCGATTTTGTTCAACCTGAAGCTTATTAATATATCGAAAATCTTGGAATTAAGATTTTCTCCAACCCACAGGCAGTCATTCAGGCTTAAACTTTTGAAATCCTTACTCGAACTCGCATCAAAAACTATGCGCAATTTTGTAGTCTGACTTTCCTCTCTGATAACCGGTTGATGTGGTAAATAATAGACAGCTCTATCGTTAGGTTTAGTTGCTTCAGTAACTTTTTCAATAATGTTCTGATTTTTATATTCAAGCAAAGTGTTCGAATATTCTAAGTGGAGATCAGAATCTCTTTGAAATCTTTTCATAAGTGAATTTAATCTTTTTTCCGCAACTTTAAAATTATCATTGAGCTCTCTCCAATCTCTTTTCCAAGGTAACTCTACCTCATACCGGTTATTTTTATACCGCACAGTTTTTTCAAAGGTTTCTAAGGATTGCTCTAACTCATTAAACCCAGGATCGTCCTTAATCCCTATTGATTCAAGTTCCCAAAATTTTTTAATATCGCTTTCTAAATCATTACAATCGTAAATTAGTCCACAATGAGTTTTTTGCGGATTCTCACATGCAGACCTTGAAACTGTACCTGTGGCTATATAGCCAAAGACAGAATTTTGTAATTTTAAATTCGTATCGGGAATTTCAATTTGTCCGAATTTTAATATTTCATAGAAAATCTCAGCTCCTAATAAAACATCGATCTTTCCAGGTTGGTAGAATTTGGGATCCGCTAAATTTACATTTTCGGGAATGCAGTTAATTGGAAATGCAATACGATTAGTTGGGATAGCATCCGATATGCTAGATACGCATAAAAACTCTAATGAAAAATTGAAACCAAATCCATTAGAAATCACTGCGTTTATTTTAGATTTTACATTTATTCTAGCATTACTTAAACCCGAAACCGTAAAAGAAACCTTTTCCTTTTTTATGCCCAATAAATCTGCCAACTCAGTTCTAATAAAACATGACATACTCCCTTGATCTAATAAAGCTCGAACCTTTATTAATTCTCCACAACAATTTATTATGAATAAATTAGCGGTCGAAAGAAAAACAATTTTTTCATGATTCATTCTCTGCACAGATGTGGCAGAAAATGTGTTTTGATTATTCGAAGAATTGAAACTATCTGCATTTGGATTAAGTTTCGACGGCGCCAACATTTCCTGGGAGTTCGGAATCGAAAATGAATCACCAGTTGTTTTGACTTCATTATCGTTTTGTTTATAATTTTCAAAATGAAGCATCACGGAATGTTTTTTATGGCATTTTTGACAGCGATAATTAGATGAGCAATTTTTTACTGAATGCCGTTTTAAGCAATTAAAACAAAGATTGTTCTTTCTTACAAATTCGTATCTTTCATGCACGGAAAGAGAAATAAATTCAGGACATTTATACAATCCGTGTAATTCCTCTCGATTACATTTAATGCATCGTAAATTATTTTTTTTCTCGTTTGTTGATACCATACTAATAATTTTATTTTGCGAATTGCGGTTTAATTTCCCTTCTTTCATTTTACTATTTTGAAGGGTTCTAGCTTGACCTTGTAGAAAAGAAAGTAATTGATTTAGTGTACCGAATTCGTC